GGAACACTTAGGATTCTTGACTCAGGGCTATACGAGCCCCTTCTAGTCAAGGGAGATCTTTTACATTATTGCCAAAGTCTCATTAAGACTAAAGAAAAATGAGCACCTGGTTGAAAAACCTTTACACAGTAAAGCGCTCCTGGGATATCAAGACCTAGAACATCACAATTTACAACCAGGGGACTATGTTTATTGGAAAAGACATCTTTTAAAGGATTACTTGCAGCCCAGGTGGAAGGGACCCTATCAGGTACTCTTAACCAACCTCTGTGCCAATAAAGGCATTGATTCTTAGATTCAGGTTTCTCATTTCAAAAAGGCTTCCCCACCTGAATGGGCCTCTGAAACAGTTGGAGACCTCAAGCTGAAACTGACCCAAAAGTGAAACAAATGACACCTAATATAGACAACTCTCCCAAGACTCCATGATCACCATTAATGAAATCTCTCTTCTTACCTTTGTTCTAATTGCCATTATCACAGAGTTGCTATGTCTCCTTCGATATGTAGCAATTGATGATATATCAACTTGCCACTCTCCTTCTTATACTCCTTATAGACACATGCTCAAGGAGTGAAAATTTTCATGCACGGGTGTTGCTTGGAATGAAAATTTAAAAGAAATGACCCAGGTCCTTTGGTCCCTTAAGTTTGACTATGAAGGACTGGAGAATTGAACTTCTGAGACGACTCCTTTTGGTTTCAGGTTTATTAATGTTCTTAGCCCTACTACATACAGTGGGCATCCTCCTTTGGCAGTAATTCTATGAAAACCATGTATCTTGCCAGAACTCTCCTGGGAAAAAGCCTCTGGCTCCAATTCTTGGCCATTCAACTAATCTATTCAGCTTAGGATTCTTTCTTTAACCAAGGCCATGAGCCACCCTTTCTCCTCTTTATATTAAAATGGCTGATTTTACTTGGATAGTTCTTTCATTAGACTTCTGTTATTATTCTTTCTTAAAATCCACCCAGAACCTTATGCCTGGAAGAGTAATGCCCTAGTTTGCAATTCCCAAAGTCTAGCCACTGGAGGAAATCTAAGATTGTTGGCTATGCCATTGGCACCCCAAATCACTTACCAAACACTGGGATCCCCTTGCCTTAGCTATCTCCAAGCTTACTAATATCCCTCCACCATGTCCTGTTCAGAATTCATCTATTCTCCCAGCATACCATGTTTGCCTACTTGAATTCACAGCTCCTTTTTCCTGTTTCGTCAATAGAATCAGACAAAACCCCCAATAGTTCTTAGGAACAATTTGTTCCAACAGTACCCTGCGGTTACCCAGAAACATTGGCTCTCAACTTTACCTTGCTGTGCAACAGAATATGTCCTCATGATGACCCTCCACATATTCCATCAAGGAAGGCTACTAGGCTGCTCAAATATAACTGACCAAGGGTTTAATTTCACCTTGACAACTCCTTTCTTTGTGCCCCATCTGCTATATCTTTGTAGTTGGAAGATGACCTGCCTCAACAGCCCTAGCCCCAGCTTCTCAATGTCCCCTAGGATTTTTAATGGCCCCTTTGACTGTATTAAATTCTCCAGAAATTACCGAATAGCACACATGCTCTACTTCCTTCCTCTGCTGAGAAATCTCTTCTTAGGGATTTCAGAAATATCTAAGAATTATATTCCCCAAGTGGAGGATTGGAACCCTTGACAAGTTGGTTCAAAATCTCTCTGCCACCATAGCAGACATAGCTGATGCCACAGTCATAACATTAAGTGACCAAGTTAACTCCCTAAACTCACTTACTCATGTTATATTAGATAACTGATTTGTCTTAGACTACCTTCTGGCAGAACATGGAGGTATTTGTGCCATCTTAAATGCCACCTGCTGTACTTGGATAAATACTTCTGATATAGTAGAAACTCTGAGGTCCTACAAAAGAAACCCGCTTGGCTTCACTCTGATACCCTTAACACTCCCCTAATGTTTGTTCAGCTGTTTGCCCTCAAACATTGGATCTTGGTTCAGAACTGTTCTGCAAACTGGGTTATTGCTCTTAATAGCTGTTAGCTTCTTTATGTTGATAAAGTCCTTGCTTAAATTGATTACTTCCATACTTAACCATTCTTCTGCTTGGTTATGGCTCACACAGACCACTATGCTTGAGGCAGCACAATATCATGATGCCGCCAATGATTTTCCTGATCCATTTATTGACTCTTACACCCAACCCCCACTCTGAGGAACATGATGAATCCAGAACAGGCAACCAAGCCACTCCAGCTATGTGGGACTAAAAGTTGCCCTGGTGATATTTTCTCCAGGAAAAATCATGAGCAAAGGGGGGAAATGTGAAAGGAACAATGGCATAAATGACTGAGACATGCCCCGAGGAGCTCCAGGTTCACTGCCCACGCTGAACTTTTGCTGAACTCTCTAAAATAAAATTGTTGATATTGGCTGAGTTGCCAAAAGGAAAAAACAATCCTGAGAACTGTACTTTTTCTGGACTGAGGAAACCATACCTTTCCCTAGTAACAGATGAGATGCGCTTGATAACCCAATTGTGTATATAGAGTAAATTTACCCTCCAATCCAAGTTCTTGGTAAACTATAAGAAGGAAACTGTAAAAAATCAAAGGACACACATCAACTGAAGGGCTTCACACTCCCTATATTTCCTATCAAATGGAATGTCAAGAAACAGGTGGGTATTTCTTGTACCACTTCTGTCAGACATAAAATTCTGAACCACTTAATTGATTCCCAAAGTCAGAAACTTGGGGAATTTCTGGTCCATGAATATATCCAGTAACAACCCTTACCTCTTTTGGGTTACCTCTTTAATTTCCCTCATTCTATTTTAAAATCAAAAAAGCAAACAAGCAAGATACATAAATTATGCAGATATGCAGACATCACACAGGACTTTTCCCTGGAAGGTCACAAAACTTTTGCGTGTGTTGTTTAAGAAAAATAGACCATAATTACAGGATATTACTCACTTCTGCTTCCCATGAGAAGAAAGTCTTTATGTCAGAGTAGTCTCAGGCCCCACGTAGGGGATTTTCTTAGTGTCAGACTCATCTAAATTATCTCTCCTACAAACAGGTACTGCTGTGCAATTTCTTGATTGTCTTTCCATTTATGATCCAACTGGTACAAGAAATGCATTGTTGGGTCTCCCTGGTGGCGCAGTGGTTGAGAGTCCGCCTGCCGATGCAGGGGACACGGGTTCGTGCCCGGGTCTGGGAGGATCCCACATGCCGCGGAGCGGCTGGGCCCGTGAGCCATGGCCGCTGAGCCTGCGCGTCCGGAGCCTGTGCTCCGCAACTGGAGAGGCCACAACAGTGAGAGGCCCGCGTACCGCAAAAAAAAAAAAAAAAAAAGAAATGCATTGTTTTAGGCTAATGAGAGAAACTTTTAAGCCAAATGAAGCTAAAAGATCTATATGCACTTCAAATAATGATTTTGAATGAAGAGAAAGAAAAGTAATGAGAGTTGCAAACAGTAGCATAGGCATGCCAACCTCAACAGCTTGTATGCACCACATTAATACTACCAAAGGAAATGTGCCATAATTTACCAGCTTCCTTTAAAAGCATCCAAAAATTACTTTGTACTCAATACGCCCATATTACAGACAAGAGGTCAGTAGAGAAGGATAGGGACTAGAGGCTTGGGTTAGCAATTACTCAACAATGAGCACAAATAAATTGTTATTTACCCCTAATTGCAAAGTGTTGGGAAAAGACTCATAGCAAAACTTCACATCACATCAACAAGTCACAGACTATACAGGTGATCTAGAAGTAAAATTTAAATTAATACCTCAAAATTTGAGATATAAATCCATCATTCCTGTAACTCATGGCTCAGAAGCAAAAAAGGCATTAGGTTTAACTGTAATGCAATAGCTTAATGTTCAGAGCATGGTAACTGGAGTTTAGAGCAGAATTTTGAAGATGACTACGTTTCTAATCCAGTGAATGCCAGCAATGAACAGAAACAGATTTGAGCTGTGATGATGGCTTCCTAGTTTTGAATATGCACCTTACTTGGCTTTATTAATAATTATTGCCAGGTTTTAAGGAAGATCAAAACTTATTTACATTTAGTTGTTATTTAGCCATGGTTCTCCCTGGCTCATTCAAATCCTGTGGTTGCTATTATTTTTTATTATAGTAAAATATTTGCTTTTACTGCATACACAACCAACAAGCTGAAATTCCTTCACATTTATTTTAAACACTTTGTTCCATTTTTTACTCAAATTTTTGTTTATATGTACTAAAGCTACCTGTAAAAGAAAATCATTCAATTTTATTTTATATTATGGTTTACTTTTCAGAACCTCTACATTCACTGACATAAGGTATTAATAATATAGTAATTTTCCAACATTAATATGCATGATGAAACTTTAGTTCTAGTAAATTTCCTGGTCTTATTGCCTTCTCTATATCAGTATTTTTGATAACAATACATTTATTTTTAGCTATGTGCGTTATATGTCTATTCAAGGTTAGTACAATATTACTACATATCAGAACTTAGGACTTCTCACATTATGACACACTGTATTTATTTGAACAATATAATGGTTTATGTAACACACTTTGAAATTGCTTTTACTACATGATGAAAAGTAATTATTTTTTTCCAAAAAATTCCTCCATAAAGTTGCGATGCATTGTGTATACACCTTATATTTTACATGCTAGCAAATACGATACTTTCAGAACACTGACATCCATCAGATTAAATTATTAATTTGCCTTTTCTAGGTATTGTAGTTTTCTGATAATTAAGTTCTGTTTGGTTTTGTTTTAAAATTACATAAGCATTGTAAATGTAAGAAATTATACCTAATTTTATGTTTGTACATATTTAAGTAACATTATAATAAAATCCAAGAAGAATGCAATGTTGTATGATATTAGATCTAGTTAGTGCTCTAAGTTGGAAATATAACATATATCAAAAAGCTAAGGAACCAATTTTAACAACAGTGAAAAATAAAAGGACATTTGTTAGAATTATTAAAAAATTTAATTCTGGTATATAGTACTTACGCTTTCAAAAAATGAGTACTTTGATAGAAACTGTGAGAAATGAAAGATAGCTTTTGTAACTAAAAAGATGCCAGGTTGAGGAATTAATGGAATCAGAATTTCAGAGAACATCCCCAATTTCCTCATTTTATAGAAGAGACAAGAGAAACAGAAGCTGAACTACATGTTCTGGACCTTTAGTTGTCCTTTGCCACTGTTATTTTTGCTTCTGAAAAATATAATTTGCATCACACCCAAAAATACTAACAACAATGCCCAAAGCCATACAGTTTGGCCAAGTGTCTCATTTCCTTTTTTGGTCAAAATGAAAAAGTGGCACCCTGAGGATAGAAATCACAAAAATGCATGCCCAGAAAAGGTGGTATGCATCAGTTTAATAAGAAACTAATTTGGAGAACAATATTTTCTCTATTGTCAAATTTCTGTAGCTGGACCTTGTGATGACATTTCTGCAGAACACAAGATACGTAATTTTTACAGGGTATACAAATATTTTATAGGGATATTAAAGTTTTTGGCTGGTGAAAATTATTTGGTGGGATATAAAATCTTTGCCCAAATAAACAAGAAAATCGGTTGCATTCTCTATGTAATTATTTTCTGAAGATAGTTTGGATTTTAAGACCCTTTTAAAACACTTGAGTTATAAAAAATTAATACTATAAAAACTAGCTATTTCTTTCACTCTCTTCTACTTCTACAAATCAATTCTTTGCTGAAGATCAGTTCATCCTAGTTCAAAATCAGTTCACCCTAGTTCAAAATACACTGTTATACCACATCCATTATCTTCATGATGTCAATAATGAGTAGGTATAATAATTATTCTAGTATTTTAAATGAATTCCATAACTTACTGAAAAGCCATTGTCCTAATTGAACTATGCAGCAATCCAAAGTAACAACCACCAAGTCAATCTTGTCATGGTCTCATTATTTTTAATATATAATAGTGACAGCCTAATATTTGCAGTTATATTCCCATTAGGAGGTCTATACATTAGCTATTATCATCAAAGTATATCAATTTCTTCAAGCAGATTTTTGGTATGTAAGAAACATAACAAAATTGGCTTTTCAAGAAAATCAAATATTGCCGTTAAGGCTTCAAAAATATGAGGTAAAAAAATGCAAGTTATATACAAAACATTAAATTGTGAACTGTAACCAAATTCACAATTTCCATTTAAATGGCAGACCTAAGATTTTCTATGGCAAAATTATCTTGATTATTCCAAGTTAAACAAAAATTCCTAATACTAATGGTTAGGTTACTCTATCATATGTCCCAATAAAGGTACACTTATGAGAATAGTTTTAAATATTAGCTTCTCTGTCTGCCTTTTAACATGATACACTGATAATTTTAAGCCATAAAGAAAGTTAACAACCCCTTAACTTATAACGACTTTGAAGTTTATTTTACAGCACTTTTATTGAGACATCATGTAACTATTGACCAGGACTGTTTACAAATGCAATGCTTGGCCTTTGAGACAATTAAAAACTTTTAAGTATCAATACTAAAATTTTACATCATTTGTTTAACTTAAGAATTGTTATGATGTGTTATGATGGCTGAAAACTAACAGAAGAAAATCTAAAGCAAAAATATAATGATTTCCACAAAAACCATATATTCCTCCCTTATATGAAAGGGAGGGAGGGAAAAAGGAAGGAAGGAAAAAGAAAAGGAGGGGGAAAAAAGATGAGGAGAGAAAGAAAAGGGGCAAGACAGACAAGAAAAAGACTTTTATTTCCTGTTTGCAAAAAGGAGGGAAACTCTGAGGTCTCAGCAAACAATGTAATCAACTGAGTCAGTTTAAATTAAGGCATCTTCTTTACATGTTATTGAATCCCATCATGCCTTTCATATTGCCAGCAGCACCCTGTTGAAACTGCCTCATCATTGACTGAAGTCCTGCCATACCACCTAGAGTGAGAGTAGAATAAAATCAAATAATTATTAAACACAACTTGAAACATTTGTTACTTTTGCCTAATAAGTACTTGAACTTCTAAAAAAATATACTGGGTTCTGACTGCATCAGCCTTAAAGTACATAAAAATTTGTATTATAACCAGTATCCTCATCTATAAAAGAGAATGAATAACTTACCTCATCACATTATGAGAAATACATACTACATGAAGAGATCTCAGAACAGTACCTGTCACACAGTAGGGAGTCAGTAAATCTAAACAAAAATTTTTTTCCTGGGGAGTCTGAGTCTTATAAATAGTAATAATTTGGGGCAGGGATGGGGGGTAGTTATTTCATAGGACTTAAAGTAAGAAAACAATTCACCATTATTGAACATCTGTTCTATGCCCAGAACTGTACTAAATGCTTTCCTATCTATTAGCTCATTTAATCATCATAATTTCCTGACGAGCTATTGCCTGTGATTTTACAGAAGGGGAAAGTGAGGTTCAGAAAGTTTAAAGAACTTTTTATAGGTTACATGGTAAAAGTGGAACTGGGTTTTCAAAATCGTTATATAATTCCAAAGTCTAATCAATGAAACTATCCAGATTCTAAACTAAGGAAAAAGGTCACCAGAACAAGCATTAACAAAAGATGATTAAGTAGCTTGCTCAAAAATCACAAACAGCAGCAGAGGAGTAAATAAAACCTCAGCTTATACAGCACTGTTACAACCATTCAACTTAGAAGTTAGATAGCCCTTTTACTTAAATCATACATTGTTTGAACAGATTTTCATATCATAACAAAAGGCATATTAAAACTCAACCCTTATAAACTAAACCAATTTACCCATGTGATGAAGAACTCTAGGATCCATCATTTTGGCCATTTGTTGATTCAATTTTGCCATCTGTGACTGGCTCACATTCTTAGACATGTCACCACCTGAAGAAAAAAAGGTTTTGAGTCAATATAGACTCAATATAGACTCAATAGACTGTAATATAATCAGGGTATCATAGAAATTGAGTAAATATAAAGAAAAAAACCTATAATCTTATCACTCTAACACAATTATTTCTATTTGTACATATTCCCCTTCTACTCTTTATCCCAATTTCATACATATTTTTGAGAAAGAACAAGTGAAACTCAATATTAAGGGACTTTCTTTTTTTAAAAAATTATTTTATTTATTTATTTTTGGCTGCGTTGGGTCTTCACTGCTGCGCTCGGGCTTTCTCTAGTTGCGGCGAGTGGGAGCTAGTCTTCGTTGCAGTGCATGGGCTTCTCATTGCAGTGGCTTCTCTTGTTGCGGAGCACGGGCTCTAGGCGCATGGGCACAGTAGTTGTGGCTCGCGGACTCTAGAGTGCAGGCTCAGTAGTTGTGGCGCACAGGCTTAGGTGCTCCGCGGCATGTGGGATCTTCCCGGACCAGGGCTCGAACCTGTGTCCCCTGCATTGGCAAGCGGATTCTTAACCACTGCACCACCAGGGAAGCCCTAAGGAACTTTCTTAAGGGCTACAATTTTTGTTAACATTTTTACTTATACCTGTGAATGAGCCACTATAAGCAAAACCATATCCAGTGGTTATTAATAGTAAGCTATAACAATTGTTTAATAGTGACATGGTAGAATGCTGAACAAAAAACTTTACAGATATGGGTTAATTGGGAAAGAGAGTGGATTACTGATAAATGGATATGAAAGAATGAGTCTGAGAGAACCTGAAGATGTGTATATCTAAGAAGCTATTATAAATAACAAAAAGCTTCAGAGAATAGAAAGAATAATGCAACTCCATTTATTAATGAATTTCTACACACTCAGTCAAAACTCCACAGTAAAAAGGCAGCCAATGAAAGAGATGCACACTGGGGCAGAAGCGATAAGAGCATCCTTTAGAGAATAACTGCTGTGCTCTTAAGAGACAGAAAGCCAAAGACATCACTGATGCAATAGCAATGAATAAGTAGAGCTGCTTCAGCAAAACTATTTATTTCAAAGGAACATTAACTCTGGTACTTCTCAGGAACATTTGTGAAAATGCAAATCAAAGATGACCCTGATTCTCTGATCAAAGCTGGCTAATATGATTAAATTAAATGAATTAAGAACTATAAGATGTGTTTTTATAAAAGATGATAAAACCTGTAAAAAATATTTCATAATTAATAAATTTGTGTAAGATGTGAATTTTACAACCACTGATGATTTGTTGTAAGAGTTTTTGTCTCTGAGGACTTAAAACTTCGAAAAATTATTAAGACTTTGGTGTGACAAGGACGTGTACCATATCCACTGCCCACTTCATCTTGGTTGTGCCTTTATTGTGCAGTTAATGCTTAGACAAGATCTGACCAACAGATCTGCAGTAGTTCTATCAAGAACAGTCAGGGTCATTTGGGAAAGATGTTAAACTGACTTAATGTGTTTATAAATCACTATCTGAAATAATATGTGGTGTTAGGAATTATGACCAATTTTAAACTTGTTTGTCTAACTTTTCTCCCTTGTCACAAAAAAGAAAATAGGACATAGTAGGCAAGGAAAATAAGGAAACTGTCAAAGACAAAATGTGATAGGGCTTCCCTATCACAGGGTTGGCGCAGTGCTTGAGAGTCTGCCTGCCGATGCAGGGGACACGGGTTTGTGCCCCAGTCTGGGAGGATTCCACATGCCGCGGAGCGGCTGGGCCCGTGAGCCATGGCCGCTGAGCCTGTGCGTCCGGAGCTTGTGCTCCGCAACGGGAGAGGCCACAACAGTGAGAGGCCCACGTACCACAAAAAAAAATTTAAAAATAAAAAAAATTAAAAAACGTGATAAAAACTTATGTAAATACCCATCTTTTTTAAAGCTATTCAGTGGTATTATTCATCTTTGGAGCTTACCTAATCAATACTTCTTAAATAATAAATTCACCTTAATAGTGTTTATGATATAGAAAAAAACCTTAAAGAGAGGGCTAGGACAGTTGATTTTAACCCTTTGGAAAAACAAACTTATCTGTTTACCTTAGACAATACACAGCAAAATAAATTCTAGGTGGGATAAAGAGTAAAAACCTAAAAAAAAAACAACAACAAGTAGAAGAAAGTATAGGTGACTACTGTGGTATCAACATGGGGAAGGCTTTTATGAGTATAAAAGAAACCAAACCAAAAGGCCTGGCTGCATTAAAAATGAAAACTTCAGAGACTTCCCTGGTGGTCCAGTGGTTAAGAATCCGCCTTCCAAGGCAGGGGATGTGGGTTTGATCCCTGGTAGGGGAACTAAGATCCCACATGCTGCGGGGCAACTAAGCCTGCATGCTGCAACTACTGAGTCTGCGTGCTCTAGAGTCCGCGCGCCACAACAAAGAGCCTGTGTGCTGCAATGACAGACCCCGCATGTTTCAACGAAGATCCCGCATACCGCAACTAAGACCTGATGCAGCCAAATAAATAAATTAGTTAATTAATTAAAAAAATTAAAACTTCATTTTTAATTAAAAATAAACGGCAAATGAAATTTTGGGAAAAATATTTGCAGGTATAGTCCAAGAATTTTAAAGAGTTATTACAAAGCAATAAGGAAAAAATAAAACAAATGGACAAGTAACCTAAGTAAGAGGGGATTCACCAAGAAAATTCAAACCAATAAATGTACGAAGAAATGTTAAATGTGAGTAATCGAAAAAACATATTGAAAAACATTTGACCATTAAATTGGAAATACTGAATTATTACAAAACTTATTCTGCATCTACTGTATTTATGATCAAAACAGACAAAATCCCTGGCCTCATGGAAGACTGCACAGAAACTGATACAGGAACTGATACTGATATGAAATCAGCCTAAACATCCAACAAAGACGCATTGTGCTAAACAAAGATACATGCGTAACTGGAATAGTACTCAGTGGTTAAAAGTTATATTCTGAAGAATATTTGACAATATGGAAAAAAAGTCATGATGTTTGAAAAGAAAAAGCACTAGTTATATCAAATGTTATTTGCAATAAGACCCATGGGATTCTCTGGGGAGTAAAGGTAATGGGTGTTTTAAATTTTTTTCTTATATTTCCTTATATTCTCTAAATTTTCTTTAATATATACTATAACGTCACAAAAATAAAGTCATTAAGTGTGATTTTTTAAAATATTAGCATTTATTACCTTGAATCTGAAAACAGATAAATCACAGATTGCATTATAAATCCTGGAAGTACTTGAATATAACATGAAATTCAGCAGTGTATTTTCTAATACTGGCAGTACTCCCTGGCTTTAATTTTTAGTTTCTCAACCTCTTTCTTTCCTTTCAGTGTGTCAACTAATGATGAGCTTGTTATTTTTCTTACCTTTGAAAAGTCCTTTGATACCTCCCATCTTTTTTACCATCTGTGCAAATTTGGTATATTGTGTCAAAAGTTCTTGTACATCTCTCGTTGACACACCTGATCCTCTTGCTACTCTTTGGATTCTTCCTGGTTGCTTACTGAAAACCTTGGCACCATCAGTACTGTCCAGTTCTGTAGGCAAGGGTCAATAACTTTCACGTACACACAATTAACATTCATTGTCAAAGCAGTTACATGCAAATATCTTACACACAGAAAATAAATACAGTGGTGAAACCACCAACCAGATTTAACAAATGTTGTTATCATCTGCTGTGTCTTCATCTGGTTTTTAAAAATTAAACATGGAATATATTCAAAAGAATATTTATAATATCCATAAGCTATAAAAACAATAAAACAAATACACATCTACTCACCCTACAGTTTAAGTAAAATAGAACATTGTGGAAATTTTTCTTTGAAAAAATTTTCTTTGTCCACCCTTTCTATAGCTCATATCCAACTGCTCCTCAGAGTATATGCCAGAGGTATAAGGTATATTTCAAAGAGGAACAAAAGGGCTTACCTTAGCTCTAAATAACTATTATCCTTTAAATCATAAATTTAGGCGTATAAGCAAGTAGAAGTAGGTAGGTTCTATCTATAATCAACAGAATAATTGTATATTTCCTATATAATCAAGTAATTACTACTAGTTTTTTAACGCCTTCTGTAACGTAAAGAATGAGTTAATTCCTTCCAGTGTTTTGATAACTCTTAGAATACGAGGTACATTTCTTATGGCATTAGTTGCACACAATCTCAGGAACAAAATTTCTATTATGTTTGCATTCTCTCCACAATACCCCCCAATAAGTGATCACCTAACTTTGATTTAACAACCCCAGGAGAGATGATCCACTATCCAAAATAAGTCAATCTGTGCCATTCTAATACCCATAATTATGGAAAATCTTTTCACATATTAAAATGAAATATGTTTGCCTGACATTCCTTCCTATTTTGCATAGATGTCTCCTTGCCAGGCATAAAGAATAAGGCTTTCAAACTATTTGAGAGCCATGATGTCTCCTGTGAATTTTCTCCAGGTGACAAATATCCAACTCTTTTGACTGTTCCTCTTATAACACGGTTTAGCACCCCATTTACCAAGCTGATTTCCTAACTACATTTTCTAATTTGTCTATGCCCTCTAAGCATATTGTCCAGAAGTGAACTGAAATCCAGGGGAAGACTAATTACTCATGTAATACAAATAAAGATCAAATTATCTCATAATAAACTTATAGTCTGTTAAAACCTCTAAATCCATTTCATAAATGCAGCTTTTAAGCCACATCTTCATGATAAAATATTTAGAAAATGTGTATCATATTCCTTCCAAGAGCTCAAATGGAGTGAGAGAAAGAAGACAGTGAATAACAGCACATCCTGGCCAGCAATAGGAGAGAGTTAAGCAAAAAGCAGAAGGGGACATAATTCAAAGAAGAAAGGAAGTCAGGAAAGGCTCCATGCTGGTGGTTTCTCTTTAACTGTGTAGTCCTGAAGGACAAGTATAAGTAAAGAAGAGAAAAGAGCAAGGGATATTCTAGGAAGCAGAACATGGAGTCCTAGAATAAATGAAACTAGTTTTGTGTAGAAGGAACAATGCATGGATAAGAGCTGAGAGATGTAAGAGATTATAAAAGTAAGTAAGGACAAAATTATAACAGAACTTGTACACCAGGCTTAGGAGTTGGGAATTCATCATGAAGACAACATAGAGCCACTGAAAGATTTCGATACCAGAATCGTTATGTTTAGAAAGATTATTCTTGTGGCAGTGAGGAAGGCAGATTAAAAGAGTGAAAGGGCTTCCCTGGTGGCGCAGCAGTTGAGAGTCTGCCTGCCGATGCAGGGAACACGGGTTCGAGCCCTAGTCCGGGAAGATCCCACATGCCGCGGAGTGGCTGGGCCCGTGAGCCATGGCCGCTGAGCCTGCGCTTCACAACGGGAGAGGCCACGACAGTGAGAGGCCCGCGTACCGCAAAAAAAAAAGAGTGAAAAAAGAGAAAGGGAAGTGTCAGGAGGCTACTGTAGCAATCCAGGTAAGGAATGATGAGTGTATGAACTAATTCAGGGGATATAGAGACAAAGAGGAGAAAGAAGATACGAGAAATACTTAGGAAGTATAACTCATTAAGTCTAAGGTGATGTTAAGGTTTCTGTATTGTACTTGAAGTGATGAAATACTGATACGAATGGACTGTGATAAGTTAAGTATGTATATATATTGTAATACCTAGAGCAACCACTAAGAAAACTACTCAAAGAAACATACTAAAAGACATACAGATACATTAAAATAGAATAATAAATAATGTTCAAACAATCCATAGGAAGATAGAAAAGAGAAAACAAAGAACAAAAATCAGAGTGAACAAACAGAACAAAAGATAAAATGGCAGAACTTAAATCCTAATATATAAATAATATATCAGTTAAAAGATTATCAGAAATATTAAAAAAGAAAAAACATAACATGTTGTTAATATGAAACTCACTTCAAATATAATGATACAGGTAGGTTAAAGGTAAAAGGATAGAAAAAGATATATAATACAAACAACTAATTAAAAGAAAGCTGGAGTGGTTCCATTAATATCAGATAAAGTGGAGCAGGGCAAAGGAGAGCATTACATACATAATGATAAAAGGGTCAGGTCAATTCACTAAGAAGACATAACAATCCTAAATGTGTATGCACCCAACAAAAGAGCCTCAAAATACACGAAGCAAAACTGACACAACTGAAAGGAGAAAAGTTAGGCATCTCAATACCTCTATATCCATAATCAATAGAATGACTAGACAGTAAATCTAAGTTGACCCCAGTTTCTAGCTTGGGTAACTGAATAGATAGGTGGAAGTGTCACTCACCAAAGCAGAAGCACTACATTTTGGAACTGATGTACCTCAGAAAACTCTCAAACGTGTAACAGAGATGTCTGTCCACCATTCAGTGAGCACCTAGACAGGAAGTGATCCAGAGTATAGACTCTCAAGCCAGAAGCCCAGCCTCTCCATTTCCTAGCTAGTGACCTTTGGCAGATTACTCAACTTCCCTGTGTCCTAATCTGTAACAGTTAGATTGGATTTTGACCCCAGAATTGTCCCTTAAGAGTTGTTGTGGGTTAAAATATGTAAAGTGCTCAGGACAGTACCTAGGGCAGAATAAACACTCTAGATATGGCTGCAGTTATCAATTCTACATTCAAAACTTTTTTTTTTTTTTTTTTTGCGGTACGCGGGCATCTCACTGTTGTGGCCTCTCCCGTTGTGGAGCACAGGCTCCGGATGCGCAGGCTCAGTGGCCATGACTTAGGGGCCCAGCCGCTCTGCGGCATGTGGGATCTTCCCGGACAGGGGCACGAACCAGTGTCCCCTGCATCAGCAGGCAGACTCTCAACCACTGCGCCACCAGGGAAGCCCTGCACAACTTTTAATAGTGTTGAAGATACACAGATGAGAGAGAAACATTATTTGGGTTACTATGAAGGCCTAGAGATCAGGAAAGACGTAGAGACTACAAAAAACAATCAGGTAGTAGACAAAGCATAGATGTGGATTAATTATTCAAAACTGAGCAGAATGATAAGAAACACTAGCTGAGGACAGAAAACTGTAGCAGATATTCATTTAAGAGGTTGGGTGAGGATGAGACCAGTGAAAGAGACTAAGTGAACAAGAAAGGTATGTGTAGTTCCCTGGTGGCCTAGTGGTTAGGATTCTGGGCTTTCACTGTCGTGGCCCCGGTTCAATCCCTGATCTGGGAACTGAGATCCTGCAAGCCAAACAGCACAGCCAAAAACACAAACAAACAAAACAAAACAAAACAAAAAAAGCAAACAAAAAAAAGAAACCAATAAAGGTAAGGGTAAAATGGAGAGATGGTATAACGGAAACCAAGAGAAAAAGGTGTTTAACATCCAATGTTGTAAAGGTCAAGAAAAAAACTGAAGAGTATCCATTAGAGTAGACCAGTGGAAGGTTATTGAAAATCTTTGTATGATCTATTTCACAGTAATGGTGGGGAGAGAAGTCAGATTTCAGTAGTTTGGGAACATAAAGCATTCTTTTAAGAAGCTTGACTGAAAAGAGAGAGTAAAAGCATGCGGGAGAAGTGAAGCCTAGAAAATGTGAAATTGTGAACTTAAGAAAGAATGTTTATATATTGATGGGGGAAAAAAGTCAGTAGGTAAGGAGAGACTGCAGATATAGCAGAGGATTTTACTGATGGAGAGAGGTCCTTGAAAAAGCTTTAAGAATGGTTTGTGGCTGTCACAATCTCATAGATAAATCAGCCAAAGGCTGAAAGAATTCAATGCCAAAAGCCTGTATTTCTTTGTAAGTAAGAACAGAGATCAAGAGTAGAAGGCCTACAAAAGGGTGATAAATATTTGGCATGCCTGCTGGGTTCAATCGGAAAGGGTGCTACAAATACTGGGAAAAAGATAAAGAAGTCATGGGTCTAGAGATATTCATGGGCTGAGGACCTGAAAGTACAGGAGAAAGGGATAATGTAGGATTAGAGATAAAGCAGTGTACTTGAGAAGACCAAACCTTGAGAGTTACAGAGCAAAGTAAGCTGGTAAACACTGCATAAACTCTCTCTCTCTTACAGATTCCCAATTCATGTTAGCATATTAGAGCTCTGAGGAGACATACAATAAATAAACTTACTAGTGTTTTTTTTTTAACTCAGCGTTCCCCCAAATTTATTTGACTACAGAACTCCCCTTTTAAGTTATTTCTATCAACACCATAAAGAACTTGTGTTCTCTCCACAGAACTCATTTGGAGAAGCACTATACTAGACATTTCTCTCAATGAGGAGGTCAACCCAGTAATCCCAACCCTTTGAGCAAGAGCTTTCAAGGAGCTAGAAATCTCCCTAACAATCATCTTTCAGTCTAAATTTTCCCCATCTTGTTCACAAGAATATAGTTAAACTCTCAACTTACTGATATTCAGAACATTGTCCTCCAAGTCAAATAATCTACCACCTTACCTTGATCATTCATACTATCCATTATTGTCATTAATTTCTTTAGCCTGGCCATTGACTCTTGTTCATTTCCTTTGCTCATAAAATCTGTTCCGAAACCAGGGATCATCCCCTAAAAGATATATTAAACATAAAATCAATAATAGCTTGAGATTAATTGTTCAGAATGTTCACATTTAACTAATGGCTTTAATGTTAATACTAAGTTTTAAAAGTATCTATTTTTACCCAAATATTAAAATAATTAAAGCAAGTGTATCTGTTCTTAGAAATTTTAACAAAAACAAAAGAGGTTAGAAAAAAACTTTTTAGTATAACTAACCAAGATCTGACTGAAGGGGCCCATTTTCATGATATTTTGAAATTGTTCATACATGTCTCGCAACGTAAACTGACCTGAAATACAATATAAATGATGCAGATATATTAGAGAATGAACATTTCCAGTCAATAAAACCTAATGATTTTCCTTAATCATGGGCTCATCTTGAAGCACACTTATAAAATATCCAATCAATAAATATTCACTCAGCAGTTACTACACACAAGATCACAGGATGAATACAGTGGAGACAGATAGATCCTATCCTAGAGAAGCTCATATTCTATCAGAGAAAATGGACATAAATACAGGAAATGTGAAAACAAAGGAGACAAACTATACCTACTAGGATAACTGAAATTATAAAGTCTGACAACACAAGTTAAAGAGAATGTAGAACAAACAGAACTCTCATATACTGCTGATGAGAATTGTAAAATGGGCAAAAGCACTTTAGAAGATTATTTGGAGTTTCTTACACAGCTTAGCTGTCCATGAACTGGAAAGTGGATAGACTCTGAATGAAATACTACTCTCAGCAATAAAAGAACAGGCTATGGGCTTCCCTGGTGGCACAGTGGTTAAGAATCCATCTGCCAATTCAGGGGACACAGGTTCAAGCCCTGGTCTGGGAAGATCCCACATGCCGTGGAGCAACTGAGCCCAAGCACCACAACTACTGAGCCTGCGCTCTAGAGCCTGCGAGCCACAACTACCGAGCCCACGGGCCGCACCTACTGAAGCCCAGGCGCGTACAGCCGGTGCTCTTGAACAAGAGAAGCCAGCGCAATGAGAAGCCCATGCACTCTAACGAAGAGTAGCCCCCTCTCACCACAACTAGAGAAAGCCCGTGTGTAGTAACGAAGACCCAATGCAGCCAAAAGTAAATAAAATAAATAAATTAAAAAAAAAAAAAAGAACAGGCTACAGGTGAGTACAACCACCTGGATGAATATCAAAAATATTATGCTGAGTCACAGAAACCATGTGGGAAAAAAAGATACACTCTAGGATTCCTATAATATGAAGTATTTACTGGGAAGGGGAATAAGCAGACTTTCTAGAGTAATGGAAATATTCTATTTCCTGATGGAGTGTAGATTATTGTGCATTTGTCAAAGTTGATTGAATGATATTCTTAGAATCTGAGCATTTCATCATTATGTAAATTCAGTTAAGGAGAAAAACAGAAAGAACAAGACAAAGGAGAAAGATTATTTTCTATTTTTGTCCAAAGATATAAACAAAAATGGTGTTTGGTTCTAGGCATTCTGAATTTGAAGTTAGCAGTACAATATCTTAAAAGAAATGTTATAGCCGGCAGCTAGAAATGCAAAATAAAACAGTGGTAGAGAAGATTAAGGCTAAAATACATATTATACAGAAATGACAACTGAAGCTATGATAAATATAAGAAATCCACTGTCATGGAACCCAAGTGAAGAGTCTGAAAATATAAAAGGCAGATAAAACTGTTAAATACTGGGAGCCAAGAGGAAAGAGAAAGGTCACTACATTTGGAAATCAGGAGGCCCTTGGTGATAACAGAAAGGAGTAGAATGTTAGAAGCAGAAGCAAAATGCAGAGATATAAAGAGAGATCTAGGAGTCAGAAAGCAGACTGACTAGGAATATATTACCCAGTTTAGTGTGGTAGTAGCAGGGGGAAAGAATCAGGCAATAAAGGATAGATTCATTCATTCAACAAATATTTACTAAAGACTTACTAAGTGCCAGAAACTGTACTAGGTACTGTGAACATAAAAGAGGAAGAACACAGCTATGAAACCTACCTTCACTTTCCAGCAGGGAAGACAGACATCAATCAAATCATTGTGATGACTCATACAGCAATTACAGGATTCAATGGAAACATACAGTAGGGGGTTCTAAGTTAGTCTAAGGATAAGGTAGAATGTCCCTGAAGCACATTTAAGGAAAGACTTGAAGTATTAGTAGGAGTTAGCCGGTTTGGCTGGGATAAAGAAGGACAGAAGTAGGAAGAAGAGAGAATAACTACCTAACAGGCAGAGGGACCAGCAAAGGCAAAGGCAGAGACAGCAGCGTACATGTGAGAAACTGATAGAAATTCAGCATGACCAGCACACGGAATGCTAAAAACAATAGTGTCAAAACATGACTCGGAAGATGTGGGTTAGATAGTGGAGTCATTCAAAACTACTCTAAGGGAAATGGGAAGCTACTGAAAGATTTTAAGAAAGGTAAGAGGATCAAATTTGCATTTCTGAAAGATCATTTCGGCTAAAGTACAAAAAACTGATCCAAGGGGAAGAGTCCAAAAAACTGGAATATCTGTTAAAAGACTTAGAATAAACAATCTAGATAAGAGATGAACTTGCATAGTTGCTGGGAAGTAGGGGATGGAATGGAGATAATTAGGAGGTAGAATCACTAGGACTAATGACTGATCGGAAAAGGACTGGCCAGAGTGAGGAAGAGATGAGTTGATGACAACATCCAAGTTTCTGACTTTGGCAACAAGACAAATGATGTTAAATTCATAGATGATAACATTGGGGTGGGAGGTTAGGATGGGAAGACAAGGATAAACTGAACTAAATGTCTAAGGAAGATCTAAGCATCTAAACATACAGATATGAGTCTGAAGCTCCAGAGAAAGAAGATGGCCTAGAATGATCCCTGGAAAACATCAACATTTGAGAAGTAAAGGCATAGGCACCTGACAAGATGAACGAGAAGGAGCAAAGAGGCAGCATAGTATGTGGCCATGGAAATTAAGAGTAATACCATTTTGAGAAAAACAGAAATGGTCAATAATATGTTAAATGCTTCTGACATGCTGGACATTTTACATATATCAGCTAATTTAATCTTCACAACTCTATGAAGAAGATAGTATTATCTACTTTTTACACATAAGAAAATTGAGGTTAAGTAATTTGAACATGATTTTTTTCAATTTAATTAATTAATTAATTAATTTGGCTTCACCCCGCGGCATGTGGAACTCCCCAGACCAGGGATTGAACTCGCACCCCCTGCAGTGGCAGCGTGGAGTCTTAACCACTGGACCACCAGGGTAGTCCGAGGTTAAGTAATTTGAAAAAGTCACATGTTAGATTAAAAAACTTGAGCTCTTAATCACATTTCAATAGGAGTTGACTTCAATGTGGAGTAAAGAAAACATGTGTGGGTATTTAATCTCATTCTTTTAAATTTCTTTTTATATGTTTTATTACATATAAATATAAAATTTATAAGTAAACAAACAAATCAGAAGAGAGTATTCTAACGTACTTTTAACCTGTTTTACTCCAAGGAACCCAATGAAAGCTTCAATTTTAATCTTAATGCAATTTGATTACAAGAAAGAAAATAAAAACACTCCATTCTACAATTGCTTAGATGCCTGAGATTTAAAATGATTTATATATAAATCTAAAACAGTAAACATTTGAAGAATTGACTTTAATGGATGTATCATTTCAAACAAATTATAGCTTTATCAAAAGAAATCCAGGTAAGTCATCTGAGATCAAATGCTTTTTGCTACTCATATACCATGTTTCAACTTCTCTATAAGTGCTTCATTGTCATCCAACTTCAACTCGTTGACTTTATCTATCAGTCCTTCAATGTCACCCATACCTATAAGACCCAAAAAAGTAAAATTAATAACCAATAGTGTATCTGTTTTACATTATGCAAAATGCATGCACATACATAATAAGCCTGTGAGATAGGCACTTCATAGGTGAAAAACTGAAGCTGGAGAGGTTAAGTGACAAAGCAGGAACTGCAGCCCAGGGTTTAATTCCAAATTCCATGCTCTCAAACACCTGGAGACATTATGAAAGTTTTGCTGCCATTATCACTGCTATTACTACAACCACATGCTTCTGTATTGAGCTCTAAAATTTTTCCAAGGAACTTTCCATCTAATAGCTCATTTTACCACTCTAACTACAGGAAGCAGATAACCACCATCCTTAGTTTGCAGGTAAAGAAGATAAATCATAGAAGAAAATTATTTTCCTGAGCTAGTTAGCAAGAGGGCAGAATTAAAATCCTAATCTGTTCTAAAAATTCATACTATTTCTTGAAGGTTTTTCTATATCCCCACCACTGTACACACCAAGAAGTTTGCTGATGAAAGGCTGCGTTTTGAAAGGTTCAAAGTCATCTATATGTTCCCCTGTACCAATGAAAATAATTGGACTTTTTGTGGCAGCAACTCTGCAAAGAAAAAGAAAACACAAAATAACCTCAAAAAGGAAAAGAAATTTCTAGAAGATTTTAAAGGTAATTAGACAAAGGTACATAGCTCAAGTTTCTTCTCACTAGCTAAAGGAGAACTGTATCAGAGGTACTCCAAAATTCTGTTTCTATTTAAACTTCTTTTACAGACCATACTAGGTCCACTATTGGAATATATTTTAAATGATTAATAAGAAAGCCATAAATACACACACACACACACACACACACACACACACACACACACACACACACACACTAAGCCCAAGACACGGGACAATAACATCAATGATACTTACGCACTGAGTGCACCACCTCCTTTTGCATGACCATCAAGTTTTGTCACTATTACTGAGGCTACATCTACTTTATCTTTAAAAGCCTTAGCCTGGGCTTCACAAGCCTGCCCAATGGAGGCATCCATCACATAAACAATGTTATCGGGTTGCTAGAAAATTTAAATAGAAAAGATATATATTTTTACTGACCTTAAGCAAATTTCATCATTAGAAGCTATAAAAAATATTTATTATAATTATTCAATCAATCAGTATTTACTGAGGGAGTACTATGTATTGGGCACCATTTATGTCCTCAGTCAAAGAGATGAATAAGAAAATCCTTACGCTTGTGGGACCTACATTCTAATCACTGGAGACAGATAAAAAAATAGGCAAATAAACATTTCAGATGTACAACAATTAAAATGGAACAGAGAAAATCAGTTCTGAGGTGTGAGAGGTTTCTTTCTGTAGGGTGGTCAGGGAAGACCTGTCTGGAGGTAACATTTGAGCTGAGGCCTGAATAAAGAGGAAAAAGTTAAGCAATGATCTAGAGGAATCACACTCTAGACAAATGCAATAGCAACAGTAAATCAGAGAAAAAAAGTAGAAGAGTGTGCGCTGAAAGCAAAATAAATAAAGGACAGATGAGAATATTTCCCTTAGGTCTGCTCACCTAGGTCAAAATAATGGCACAGCTAAACAAAACAAAACAATGTATTAGTATTAATCATTAACCAAAGAATTACTGCCAACACCTCAATGGCAAAACATGGGTTCATAATATGTGCTATAGATTACCTATAAACCACTTCTTCTTCCCGTTATTTCCATCACAATTTTAAAGAGACACTAAATGATTATTAATATTTTTAAATGCTTCATTTTAAAAATCTTTCAAAATTCACCTAAAGCAAATGTTTTTAATTTAATTTAAATAATTTACAGAAAGGAAATTCAACAGCTATTAAAGGTTCTCATTTTTTTTTGCTTGTTACTTTTTCTTATACATACTAATAAGATGATTAAGTGAGAAAGGAAATATTTCAATACTCATGAAAATTTCATATTAATGTACAGAAGATTAAGTCCTTATCATACAGACAAAGGAGCCCAAAATAAAAATATATTACTTGGAATCTTTCTTACAGGCAAAAAATAATTTATATGGTTCATAAACTCAATCAGGATTTATAATTAATTTAACCAAAGTCTTAATAATGTTGTTAAATTAAGCTACTTACTATAGCATTAGCAACTTGAAGCATTTCTTCAAACAAAGAGTCTTCTTGTTTATGGCGGCCACTTGTATCAACAATAATAATTTCAAAGTTCTCATTTTTGAATTTCTCCACTCCTTCAGAGGCAATGATGACAGGATCCATTTCTGTATAGCTATTTAACATGGAAAAATGAGTTAGCAGCAAAACTTCCAAATAAGAAAAATTTGGAAACTGTTAGTGCACCCTTAGTCTACTCTGAAAAAGTCATAATGATCACAATTTCAATTTAGAAGTATAAAATCTAATAAGTATTAAATATAACAACCCACTTCTAGAGCAGCATGAAGCAGTAATCAGTTTTCCAATTACAAAATCCTGTATGATTCTTTTTTTTTAAATAAATTTATGTAAAAACAATAAATAGCCCCCATATTTATTTATTTATCATTGGCTGCGTTGGGTCTCGGTTGCTGTGCGCAGGCTTTCTCTAGTTGCAGTGAGCGGGGGCTACTCTTCGTTTCGGTGCGCGGGCTTCTCATTTTGGTGGCTTCTCTTGTTGTGGAGCATGGGCTCTAGGCATGCAGGCTTCAGTAGTTGTGACACACGGGCTTCAGCAGTTGTGGCGCACGGGCTTAGTTGTTCCATGGCATGAGGGATCTTCCAGGACCAGGGCTCGAAACCATGTCCCCTACTTTGGCATGCAGATTCTTAAACACTGCGCCACCAGGGAAGCCCAAAATCCTGTATGATTCTGCTGTGTATCTTTTCTGAATGAGCTGTGAATTCCTCAATTTTTTTTACATTTTCTTTAATAACTGAACTTGTATTACATAGTGTTTTAAACATGTTTTTCCACTTAACACCCTTTCATAAGCAATGTTTTAAACATCTTTATTGGAGTATAATTGCTTTACAATGTTGTGTTATTTACTGCTGTATAGCAAAGTGAATCAGCTATACGTATACATATATCCCCATATCCCCTCCTTCTTGCCTCTCCCTCCCACCCTCCCTATCCCACCAATCTAGGTGGTCACAAAACACGGAGCTGATCTCCCTGTGCTATGCAGCTGCTTCCCACTAGCTATCTATTTTACATTTGGTAGTGTATATATGTCAACGCCACCCTCTCACTTCGTCCCAGCTTACCCTTCCCCCGCCCCGTGTCCTCAAGTCCATTCTCTACGTCTGCATCTTTACTCCTGTCCTGCCCCTAGGTTCATCAGAACCTTTTTTTTCTTTTTAGATTCCATGTATCTGTGTTAGCATATAGTATGTTTTTCTCTTTCTGAGTTACCTCACTCTGTATGACAGACTCTAGGTCCATTCACCTCACTACAAATAACTCAATTTCATTTCTTTTTAAGGCTGAGTAACATTCCATTGTATATATGTGCCACATCTTCTTTATCCATTCATCTGTCAATGGACACTTAGGTTGCTTCCATGTCCTGGCTACTGTAAACAGTGCTACAATGAACACGGGTACATGTGTCTTTTTGAATTATGGTTTTCTCAGGGTATATGCCCAGTAGTGGGATTGATGGGTCATATGGTGGTTCTACTTTTATACCTTTAAGGAACCTCCATACTGTTCTCCATAGTGGATGTATCAATTTACATTCCCACCAAGAGTGCAGGAGGGTTCCCTTTTCTCCACTCCGTCTCCAGCACTGATTGTTTGTAGATTTTTTGATGATGGCCATTCTGACCCGTGTGAGGTGATACCTCACTGTAGTTTTTTTTTTTTACATCTTTATTGGAGTATAATTGCTTTACAATGGTGTGTCAGTTTCTGCTTTATAACAAAGTGAATCAGTTATACATATACATACGTTCCCATATCTCTTCCCTCTTGCGTCTCCCTCCCTCCCACCCTCCCTATCCCACCCCTCTAGGCGGTCACAAAGCACCAAGCTGATCTCCCTGTGCTATGCGGCTGCTTCCCATTAGCTATCTATTTTACATTTGGTAGTGTATATATGTCCATGCCACTCTCTCAGTTTGTCACAGCTTACCCTTCCCCCTCCCCATATCCTCAAGTCCATTCTGTAGTAGGTCTATGTCTTTATTCCTGTCTTACCCCTAGGTTCTTCATGACATTTTTTTTTTCTTAAATTCCATATATGTGTGTTAGCATACAGTATTTGTCTTTCTCTTTCTGACTTACTTGCAAAGGATTAATCTCCAAAATTTATAAGCAGCTCATGCAGCTCAATAACAAAAAAACAACCCAATCCAAAAATGGGCAGAAGACCTCATTGTAGTTTTGATTTGCATTTCTCTAATGATTAGAAATGTTGAGCATCCTTTCATATGTTTGTTGGCAATCTGTATATCTTCTTTGGAGAAATGTATTTTTAGGCCTTCTGCCCATTTTTTGATTGGATTGTTTGTTCTTTTGATATTGAGCTCCATGAGCTGTTTGTATGTTTTGGAGATTAATCCTTTATCCCTTGCTTCGCTTGCAAGTATTTTCTCCCATTCTGAGGGTTGTCTTTTCACCTCCTTTATGATGTCCTTTGCTGTGAAAAGCTTTTACATTTCATTAGGTCCCATTTGTTTATTTTTGTTTTTATTTCCATTTCTCTAGGAGGTGGGTCAAATAGGATCTTGCTGTGATTTATGTCATAGAGTGTTATACCTATGTTTTCCTCTAAGAGTTTACATTTAGGTCTTTAATCCATTTTGAGTTTATTTTTGTGTATAGTGTTAGGAAGTGTTCTAATTTCATTCTTTTACATGTACCTGGTCCAGTTTTCCCAGCACCACTTATTGAAGAGGCTGTCTTTTCTCCATTGTATATTCTTGCCTCCTTTATCATAGATAAAGTGACCATATGTGCGTGGGTTTAACTCTGGGCTTTCTATCCTGTTCCACTGATCTATATTTCTGCATTTTCTGCCAGTACCATACTGTCTTGATTACTGTAGCTCTGCAGTACACTGTGAACTCAGGGAGCCTGATTCCTTCAGCTCTGTTTTTCTTTCTCAAGATTGCTTTGGCTATTCAGGGTCTTCTGTGTTTCCATACAAATTGTGAAATTTTTTCTTCAAGTTCTGTGAAAAATGCTGTTGGTAGTTTGATAGGAATTGCACTGAATCTGTAGATTGCTTTGGGTACTATAGTCATTTTCACAATGTTGATTCTTCCAATCCAAGAACATGGTATATCTCTGCATCTGTTTGTATCGTCTTTAATTTCTTTCAAAAGTGCCTTATAGTTTTCTGTATACAGGTCTTTTGTCTCCTTAGGTAGGTTTATTCCTAGGTATTTTATTCTTTTTGTTGCAATGGTAAATTGGAGTGTTTCCTTAATTTCTCTTTCAGATTTTTCATCATTAGTGTATAGGAATGCAAGAGATTTCTGTGCATTAATTTTGTGTCCTGCTACTTTACCAAATTCATTGATTAGCTCTAGCAGTTTTCTGGTAGCATTTTTAGGATTCTCTATGTATAGTATCATGCCATTTGCAAGCAGTGAGAGTTTTACTTCTTTTCCAATTTGGATTCCTTTTATTTCTTTTTCTCCTGATTGCCGTGGCTAAAACTTCCAAAAGTATGTTAAATAATAGTGGTGAGAGTGGGCAACCTTGTCTTGTTCCTGATCTTAGAAGAAATCATTTCAGTTTTTCATCATTGAGAATAATGTTGGCTGTGGGTTTGTCATATATGGCCTTTATTATGTTGAGGTAGGTTCCCTCTATGCCTATTTCCTGGGGAGTTTTTATCATAAATGGGTGTTGAATTTTGTCGAAAGCTTTTTCTGCATCTATTGAGATGATCATATGGTTTTTATCCTTCAATTTGTTAATATGGTGTATCACAGATTGATTTGTATATATTGAAGAATCCTTGCATTCCTGGGTTAAACCCCACTTGATCATGGTGTATGATTCTTTTAATGTGTTGTTGGATTCTGTTTGCTAGTATTTTGTTGAGGATTTTTGCATCTATGTTCATCAGTGATACCGGCCTGTAGTGTTCGTTTTTTGTGACACCTTTGTCTGCTTTTGGTATCAGGGTGATGGTGGCCTTGAAGAATGAATTTAGGATTGTTCCTCCCTCTGCTATATTTTGGAAGAGTTTGAGAAGGAGAGGTGTTAGCTCTTCTCTAAATGTTTGATAGAATTCGCCTGTGAAGCCATCTGGTCCTGGACTTTTGTTTGTTGGAAGATTCTTTTAAATATAAATTTATTTATTTATTTATTTTTGGCTGCATGCAGGCTTTCTCTAGTTGCAGTGAGCAGGGGCTACTCTTTGTTGCGGTGCGTGGGCTTCTCATTGCAGTGGCTTCTCTTGTTGTGCAGCACAGGCTCTAGGCGCGTAGGCTTCAGTAGTTGTGGCACGTGGGCTCAGTAGTTGTGGCTCGTGAGCTCTAGAGTGCAGGCTCAGTAGTTGTGGAGCACGGGCTTAGTTGCTCTGCAGCATGTGGGGTCTTCCTGGACCAGGGCTTGAACCCGTGTCCCCTGCATTGGCAGGAGGATTTTTAACGACTGCGCCACCAGGGAAGTTCCTTTGTTGGAAGATTTTTAATCACAGTTTCAATTTCAGTGCTTGTGATTGGTCTGTTTACATTTTCTATTTCTTCCTGGTTCAGTCTTGGAAGGTTGTACTTTTCTAAGAATTTGTCTATTTCTTCCAGGTTGTCCATTTTATTGGCATGTAGTTCCTTGTAGTAATCTCTCATGATCCTTTGTATTTCTGCAGTATCAGTTGTTACTTCTCCTTTTTCACTTCTAATTCTGGTTATTTGAGTCTTCTCCCTTCTCTTCTTCATGAGTCTGGCTAATGGTTTATCAATTTTGTTTATGTTCTCAAAGAACCAAGTTTTAGTTTTATTGATCTTTGCTATCATTTCCTTCATTTCTTTTTCATTTATTTCTAATCTGATCTTTATGATTTCTTTCCTTCTGCTAACTTTGGTTTTTTCTTGTTGTTCTTCTTTCTCTAATTGCTTTACGTGTAAGGTTAGGTTGTTTATTTGAGACGTTTCTTGTTTCTTGAGGTAGGATTGTATTGCTATAAACTTCCCTCTTAGATCTGCTTTTGCTGCATCCCATAGGCTTTGGGTTGTCCTGTTTTCATTGTCATTTATTTCTAGGTAGTTTTTTATTTCCTCTTTGATTTCTTCAGTGATCTCTTGGTTATTTAGTAACGTATTGTTTAGCCT